CAACTCAGCCCTAACTTACTCCTTCCTTGTCCCAACTGTTCCTGGGCCCCAGACTGAGCCCGACTTCCCCCTTCGGGACCTGGACTTGGGTCCAGCCCGTTTTTCAGCGAAGGCTCTGCCGGGATCGGGCGAAAGCAGGGGTCCTAATACCCAGTGTACCCCCAAACCCTTTTTGGCCTAAGTCCTGTCCCTGCGCAGGAAAAGAAACCCAAGAGGCCGTGGACAAGGGGAGAGGAGATGGAGGCACGGTGCCACACTGCCACTGTGGACCCCCTCCTTTCCCTGGGAGGGCATGGGCCTGGGGATTCTGGGATCTGGCCAAACGCGAATCCCTGCTCTCTCCAGTTCCACAGTGCACTCCACAGCCTCAGAGAGTCCCTCCTTTTATCCCACCCAACCCTCTCCTGCTGCACTTGAAGACTTTCTGACCCCAGTCCAGGTGGTCCCTGGGTCTAGGTCCCCTCCCCCCTCAGGCTTCCCGGCATCCCCATCCCCTCACCCACCCAGGGCCTCTGGGAAACTCCCCAGCTCCTAGAGGATCCCTGGGAGAGAGGCCCTGCCTGGATCCCTCCCTCCTTCCCTGCATGCGTGTCTGTCCCACCTCATCCTCCGCGGACCTCCCCTCCACCGGGAGGAACACGGCCGCATTGTTCCCCAGGACCGGGCCCTGCCTTGGGGCCTGGCTCCTTGCCCAGGTGGGGGGCTGGGAACAAAACTCAGCAAAGGAGGGGCGGGGTGCCCTCTGCCGCCAAGCCAGCCTCCTTGGGCATGCCCGGATGCCACTTTGCTCTCTCTAAGATGGGACCTGGACCAATGGTCCCCAGACCACCACCACCACCATCACATCACAGGGTTCTGCAGCCAGAGGATCACTCACCGACCTGTGTGGACACTGCTTTGGGGCACAGTTTTTCTCCCACCCCCAACATTTCTGAAGTCTTATAATTGGGGCTGGGGCTCATAATCTTCACCACCCACCTCCCAGGCAGTAAGAGTAATGCTGAGGGTGGGGGGACCCAGCAGCAGGCCCAGGCGGAAGACTGGAGTGGCCGGTTGGATGCCTCTGGGTCACCTCACACCCCCAAATTCCTCCAGAGCCCCCTATTTCCTCAGTTCAGTTCAACAGGCTCCCACTTTGGATTTTGGTGGGATTAGGGTGAGGGGGCAGAAGCCACACCTAACTACTATCCCATGGGGCCCAGCCCTGGGGGGTTCCTGGGTCTTTCTTCTCTGTGGGGCCCAAGAGGCAGGCTGGCTCAGGCTGCAGGATCTGGCAGGTTGGGGCAGGAGGGGGCAGAGCTGCCTGTGGGGCCCCAGGGGAAGATTTGGGGTGGCACAGAATTCCCCAACTCAGGGTGGGGCCCGAGGGGGGAGGGGGCACTAACCACATGGCCTCCTGAGCAGCTTCAAACAGAGGGATGGAGTTCCTAGGTCCAGGGTCTTCCTGTGGAGACACACACACACAATCATTTCAGAAGTATAAAGTGATCAAATTACAATGAGGCATCCCCTCCACTCTGCCCCTCCAGAACACTCCCTTCACACTCCAGGACAAGTTCTCCCATCAGAACCACCCTTCTCTCTTCTCATTATTAGTCCAATCAGGCACACATTAAGGGGAAATGTCTCCTCCATGCTGGCCTCCAGGGATACCTGTGCCAAGGGCCCTCAGCCCATATAAACCATTTTGCCGTTTCCCTGCACATGGCTTAAACCACCCTGACTCACTTAGCATCCCTCAGTCCACGCTTGGAGAGTCCTCCCAGTACCCTCAGTCCTCTTATTTGCAGTCCAGTGCTCCACCACCGAGCAATACCCCCATCAGCCCTCCATCTAGATCCCCGACATTTGCCCCCACATACCCTAGTTCTCAGCTGGCCAACTGACCCAGGGACAGCAGCCAACAGGGATCGGAGCTCTCCAAACTGGCCAACAGATCCTTTGTAATGACAGGGAGGAGTGAGAGGACAGGGCCAGGGTGAGGCCAGGCCAAGCGGTCAAGTGGCACAAGGCACACACACGCACGCGCACGCGCACACACACACACGCCCATTTGTTCATTCTTCAAACATTCATTGAGTGCCTGCTGTGTGCCAGGTGAAGTGCTGTTCTGGGCACTAAAGACACAGCAGAGAACAAGCCAGAAAAAAACCCTGCCCTCATGGGGCCGACACAATAAACAGACAGGTATAAAGATCTATGGTGTGTTGGGTGGCATGTGTTGGGAGAGGTAATAGAAGGGGGCAAAGGAGATGGAGTGAGGGGGTGGTGAGAAGGTCAGGAAAGGCTACCTTGAGGAGGAAGTGACATTTGAACAAAGATTTATAGGAGGTGAGGGAGAAGCCATGCAGACTTCTAGAGGAAAAGAATTCCAAGTGGAGCAGGAACAGCCAGTGCAAAGGCCCTGCAGCAGCATGTGCCTGGAACATTTGAGAAACAGGGAGGAGACCAGTGTGATGGAGGAGGGAAGGGAGCAGAGTGGACAACTAAGTTTCAAATTCTTGCTTCTCCACTTCTAGTTGGGTGTCTTTGGCCAAATGATCACAACTCTCAGTCTTGCTTTCTTGATCTGTAAAATGGGCCTGAAAATGCGTTTTGAGGTCTGAGGGCCTGAGATGGAGTAGAAGCTGGATAAGCTTTTGCATGCAGTTACACCAAGTTTATGCCACCATGCAGACCTGGGGTGGGGGGCTGGGTCAAGGGACCCTGACAGACCCAGTCACCCTGTAGGTCACCCTGGTGGCTCATACGCAGGGCTGCCTGCCGGGCCCCATGGCAACGCTGCACACAGAGACATCAAACAGGCCCTGCCGAGGAAGTCCCACGTCACTGTGGTTAGGGTAGCTCCTCCCAGCCCAGCCCCCGGCTGGCGCTGTGCTCCTCCTTGCCAGTCAGGGCCCCTGCCTCCTGTCACCCTGGTGACAGGCTGTGTTATGGACTAAGCAGGGATCCCACCACCTGCCCCCTCACTAGGGCACCGGCCACTCCCCACATCCGGGGAAGGACATTATGTGGTGGCCCCCATTCACTGCCACTAACCCTTTCATTCAACCGCCCCAAAATGGTGTTGGGAGCATCAGGAAAGCCCTTACCTACCCACATACAACTCAGAGAGACAGAGTTCCTACGGACCTGTGGGGACCCCGAGCTAGGTGCCTGAAATCCTCAGGGCAGGGTCCTTCCTGGTGTTGCTCCCAAGGCACTGGAGGGGTGAGTCAAATAGGAATAGCCCCCAAGCCTGGCCCAGCCCCCACCCGGGGACTGAGTCACTACCCACCCAGCACCAGATGACATCAGGGCCTGGCTGGCCACCCTCACTTGGCACCGGGCCAGAATGGGGGCGCCCAAGAGGTGTAACATCTGGCTGCCCTCTCCCCTCTGACTAGGGCCCGGCAGGCTCAGGGTTAAGAAGGGGCCCTCCTGGGGGGTCTCCCCTCTAATCCCATCCCCCCCTTTCCCGGGGATTTCGGGCCCCAGCCCCTCTGACGTCACTGGGGGTTGCTATGGCAACTGGCCGAAGTTCCCAAATAAAATTACCGCGGGCGGGTTAAGTTTCCTAGGAGGCAGCCGACGGGTAAACAATGGCGGTGGCAGGCGGGGCCGGCGCGGGGCCGTCTCCCTCTCCCACCCTTCACTCTGCTGGGACCCGGGGGTCCCCAGGTCGAGGAGCAGGGCCCCCTCTCCGCCCGGTTCGGAGAGCCCGTGGATATCAGGGGCACTGGCGCACAGATGGGGGACAGTGAGGCCACCGCCGAGATGAGCGGGGGCGGGGTAGGTGAGGGGGGATCTCGGAGGGGAGGCTGGGGCGGCTGGGAACAAAGGGGAGACCTGAGGCCTGGGATCCGCCCCCTGCACACCCTGCCTTCCCCCGCCCCCGGCCGGCCGCCAGTCCAGCTGTGGCTGCTCCCAGCTGCCTGGCTCCCCGCATCTGGCGGGCCGCGCGCTCACTTCCTGTCGCCCCGGCTGCATGGAGGGAGGTAAAAATAACCCACCCCCTCCCCCTGCCGGCGGGCGCAGACGGCGGATCCTGCCGGCTTGGAGGAGGGCGAGGCCGAGCCACAGCCGGGGAGAGGAGCCCCCCTGAGGCCGACTGCCGTCCCTCCCACTGCCTCGGTGTCCTGGGAGGAGGGGCTCAAGGGGAGGTGACAGCCTAGGCTGCAGGGGAGGCTGGGGAGTCTACTGCATTAAGAAGGCCAGTACCTGGGCCACCAGAAACCGGGGAAACCCCTCACCCCTTGGAGAAGGGTGGGGGTACCAGCTCTAACTGGCTGGTGAAATGTAACCAACATGCCTGGATTCCAATCGGTCCCACTTACTAACTGTATAGAAAAGTTTCTTCTCTGGGCCTCAGTTTACCTATCTGCAGAATGAGGATGATAGTAGTATCCACTCCAAAGTGCATTTGCTCCATTATTGTTAGCTATTATTATTTCCCCATCCCCAGGGCCCTGAGAACTTAAAGTACTCTTGCCAGATAAAATACAAGACACTTAGTTAAATTTGATTTTCAGATAAACAATGAATCATTTAGTATCTATATGTCCCATGCAATATTTGGGACATAATTTTACCCAAAAAAATTGTACTTACTCTGTATCCGAAAATCAAATTTAACTGGGCCTCCTGTATTTTTATTTGCTAAATCTGGTATTTCCAAGCCACCATCATCTCTGGCCTGAAAACACTCCAACAGTCTGGTCTCCCTGGTCTCCTTGCTTCCAGCCTTACTCCTTCCATCCATTCTCTAGAGAGAGCCAATTAAATCAAATCACATCTCCCTTCTACCACCCACTGTGAGAAGTTCCTCCATGGTCCCCCCTTGTCAGTCACAAGGCCCCTGCTGATGAGGTCCCTGCCTTCTCTCCAACCTGCCTTTCATACCCACCTGCCAACTCATGGGCATCTTTCAATTCCTAGGCCATCACCTCCTCCAGGAAGCCTTCCTTACCTCTCACCATGATCCTCTGACTTTAGATTCTCCAGAGACTCTGAACTCCTCTGTCTTTCCACTCAACCATTTGAGTGATTTACTCAGTCATTTGAGTAACATGAACACTTCTTAAAGGATGCAAAGGTGGCGACTTCCTAGGCAGCTGGTCACTTTCATGACAGAGGCAGGGTGCCAGGGGGCACGTGCCTGCTCATCCTGCCCCAGTGTTGGCACCTGCTCTTTTCCACACTCCACAATGACTGGGGTCCTGTGGGCAGCTGAGTGGTGACTTGTATGGGTGCTGGGGAGCCTAGAGTGAAGTGATGCTGCCTCTTGGGGAACTCTCCCCCTGCCCTCATTTGAGCCTTGGAGGGAGCCTGGCACAGTCTCCGGAGGACACAACCCTGTGTCACCAGTCCCCAAGGAGCCCACCCACCTGCTACAACTTACATGTCCCAGCCAAGCTCCGACATGGACTTGTCACTCATATCTACGCTGGAGCCTCCCACAGATGTGACCATCCCCAAGAGGGAGCATCCTCATGCAGATAGGTAAACTGAGGCCCCTGTCTGGCTTCAGGCTTGGTTAAGGATTTTGCCTCTCTGTGACTCGGTTTCCCCATGTGTCAAATGCGAATAATACCCATGGAGCATCAGAGGGCTATTGTTAACATTATTAGTATATCCGTAGGTATATACGTGTGTAGAACAGAGCTTGGAACATAGAACGTCCTCATTAAGTGTTAGATCCTTTGAGAGTGAGGGGAGGGTGAAAAGCCAAAAGCCCCCACCGCAGCCCTCCTGATACCCACCCCCAGGCCGGCTCCCCAGATCCCTCTAGGAAAATGGCTTCGACCCCCCCCATCGCAGCTTTGGCCCAGCTCCTCAGGGCATGTCTCACCCCACATCGAGTCCCCAGTGCCATCCCCGACCCTGATACCTGCCTCCTGAGAACAAGGGGTGGGCCTGGCTTGGGGAAAGACACCTTCCGTTCGTCCATCCCGCACTGGGCCACTGCTGTTCCTTCGCCCTCATCCGTGCTAACCATGACTGCAGGTCTGACCTG